TGAAAACGGATTCGGAATCAGCGAAAAATTCTGCACAAGATGTGCTATCTCCCATAACGAAATCCCACGGTCAACATGAGAGAGTTACAGTTAGAGTTAAGCTCAGGTTCTTGCTCAGGCTTAGGATCCGTCTAACATACGGTAACCCAAGGTTTTTCAGTAGAAATCGACTGCGAGGTGCTTTCGGTGTGCGGCCAGGATTTGCATTGTGTGGAACAGCTGGCTGAACGACTACAACTTGACGACTGTCTGGGTGAGCTAGCAGAGATTGTTGAGGAAGAGGAGAGGGCAGACTAGCAGAGATTGTTGAGGAAGAGGAGAGGGCAGGCTAGCAGAGATTGTTGAGGAAGAGGAGAGGGCAGGCTAGCAGAGATTGTTGAGGAAGAGGAGAGGGCAGGCTAGCAGAGATTGTTGAGGAAGAGGAGAGGGCAGGCTAGCAGAGATTGTTGAGGAAGAGGAGAGGGCAGGCTAGCAGAGATTGTTGAGGAAGAGGAGAGGGCAGGCTAGCAGAAATTGTTGAGGAAGAGGTGAGGGCAGGCTAGCAGCGTTTTTTTCAAAAATTTTGGACAAATTTTTTTTTCAGTGGCCGCCGAGAAGCGTGCCATCTACAGCTTCAAACGCGGGCAGACGCGCAGCCTCATCCGGATACTCAAGCAGATGCCGCGATTATGAAACCCCGGCAATTCCCCTAAAATTCGATACTATTGATGTTTTGAAACTTTCATAATTTCCCAAAATAAGGTGCCAAATCCCGTGAAAATTTTGATCTATGTGAACCCCCCGAACTCGACGATGTGATCTCCTCCCCCCTACGAAATCGCCCCCCAAAAAGCCACCACCAAATGTACAGTTTTCCAGCCCCGCGCAGTCTGTTTGTGAATAAAGTCTAGTTTTTACGTGTTATTAGATCGAACATCCGATTTTACAACTCCAAAAAAGTGACAATTCTGGATTCTCTAGTGAACAAGTTCTAGTACAGTTTTTCGTGCACTTTCTGGTGGTAGTTTTAGAATTGATTTTCTTATGAGAAATTTTAATTAAAATGTGTCAACCACCACCCTCCGGTTGTTTCCTTGCTTTCACGCCCACACCCAGCCATTCAATAGCAATAATTTTTGCCGGGATTACAGGCAATTTCACGCCCTTGATGGAACCGCTGATAAGAGTATTCTAGCCGCAAAACCCTTGAAAATTAATTTATAAAAATCTGCTAGCCTGCCCTCTCTTCTTCCTCAACAATCTCTGCTAGCCTGCTAAAATTCAGGAGATGCGCTCGCTAATTGCCATACTAATCTGCCTACCCACCTTGTTGGCCATCAGCTGCTACTCGGACGAGAAGCACACAGAAGGACGGGCCCATAATGACGTCGTCAGTGGTTTTAATAAATTTCTGGAAGTGATCATCTTCATGAATCTCTGCTAGCCGGCCTTGTTCCATTACGCCATCTAATTGCCCCTTGATTACAGTATGCCGAGGTGGCCTGTGATGCCGGCTGCGGCTTCTGCATGAAATGGGAGGGCAGGGTAAGTTAAAAGGTATCGAAAGGCTAGACGCTAAAAATATCCTGACTAGATAAAATTTACGATTTCCAGGTCGGGACGCTAAATGGAACTCTTTGGGAGTGCGGATGCGGGCTGAAAAATAGGCATGATGCGCGGGTTCAAGACTGCAAGGTAGTTGCTCTTCTCTCTCTCTCTCTCTCTCTCTTTCCCTCGCTGTCTCTCTCTCTCTTCCTTGGCTCCAGAAAGGACTCCTTAAATACCAAAAAACGCGAGTTTTTAGACAATCGGCAAAGTCTCGCAAACAGTGGCAGAAGCCGGAAACGCCAACGCAAAAATCTACCTATGGTGCTGTCGGGAGGATTACTGTAATGCGGGAACGAATTCTAACGCCGCTGTGGGGTTGATGTTTGTAATTTTTGTGTATATTTTTGGCAAATAAATGGTGGCTACGACGTCTATCACTCTCTCCCTCTCTGTCTCTCTCTCGCTCCCTCTCTCTCATTTTTTGTCACTCTCTGTCGCTTTCTCTCTCTCTCTCTCTCTCTCTCTCTCTCTCTCTCTCTCTCTCGCTCTTTCTCATTTTCTGTCACTCTTTGTCGCTCTCTTTCTCTCTCTGACCCGCTACCATTTCCTGTCGCTCTCTCTCTCGCTCTCTCTCACTCTCGCTCACTCATTCCCTCTCTCCCTCTCTCATTCTCCTCTCGCTCGCTCCATCGCTCTCTCTGACTCGCTTTCACTCGCTCTCAATCGGATTTTGCTCCAACACGTATCGTTCCTCAACCATCCCACAAAAACACCCCCAATCCTTAGTCAGCGCGAGCCCAAGATCGGCTTTTCGTGCACGGCTTCATACCGTAAATGATAAGCCGCCCCTTTATGGGCGATTACTCAGCCCAGGTTTGGTACGATAAACCCCCCTATACGGGTCTCGACACGCTTGCACGCGAGAAAACGAGCACATGCTAGCACAACCCTTGTGGAAGACGATTGTCAGTTTCTTTGCAACATTTCGGCTTTTTAAAGGGATTGGGAAGGCTTGTCTTCAGATTCTGCTCGCTATGGATCAGAGATTGAGATTGAGCTCGAGTTAGATTGAGGCTAGCAGAGGATGAGGTCGAGCTCGAGCTTGAAGGAGGCTAGCAGAGATTGAGATTGAGCTGGAGTTAGATTGAGGCCAGCAGAGGATGAGGTCGAGCTCGAGCTAGAGGAAGGCTAGCGGAGATTAATGTTGAGCGCGAGCTAGAATGAAGCTAGCAGGGATTGAGCTTGGGCTCAAGATAGATTGAACTAGGAGAGATTGAGGACGAGCTCGAGCTCGAGTGATGCTCGCAGAGATTGATATTGAGCTCGAGCTAAAGCCAGCTAGCAGGGATCGATATTGCGTTTGGGCTACATTGAGGATAGCAGAATTAGAGATCGAGCTCGCGCTAAATTGAAGATACCAGAAATTAAGCTTGAGCTCGAGCGCGAGGGATGCTAGCAGAGATTCTTGAGGAACACGTTCCCTTAATGTGGTTTTCTTAAAAGATCACTAACCCCCAGTCCATACTATAACCACCTAAAACCCACCCCGCCCACAAATTTTCACCGGAAATGGGAGGAGAAAGCGACGGGTGGTCATCATTTCCAGAAGATAAGCCACCGCCCATCAAGCTGCGAGCGCCGCTATAAAAAAGCCGCCGATTCTTGACAGCCTTCATTCGTGATTCCCTATCACCTGTTCGAAAATCATCTGTTCGAAAATCACTTGTTCGAAAATCATCCGTTCGAAAAATCACCTGTTCGAAAATCATCTGTTCGAAAAGACATCTGTTCGAAAATTCATCTGTTCGAAAAGTCATCTGTTCGAAAATCACCTGTTCGAAAATCATCTGTTCGAAAAATCACCGTTTTCGAAGGAACAGCTTTTCCAAAATTCACGTTTTTTTGAAAAGACTTTTCACCGTGGTAAATGTGTATGCTCGTTCAATTGCTGTTTAACTAAGTATATTTATTTTCAGATTCGACTTTTCCGGGATATAATCATTTCTCTTCCCTTGTTCTCTCTCTCATCTCTGCTCTCTCTGCGGGATATAATGAAAAGAACTCTCATGTTCAGAAGTCTAAGTTCAGAAGTAGGGGATGTTCAGAAGTCTATGTTCGGAAGTCTACGTTCAGAAGTGGGAAAAGTTAAAAGGAAAAATTTTTCCCCATATGGGACCTTTTTCGAATAGGTGATTTTTCGAACCGATGATTTTCGAACCGATGACTTTTCGAACAGGTGATTTTTCGAACAGATGATTTTCGAGCAGTTGATTTTCGAACAGGTGATTTTCGAACGGATGATTTTCGAACAGATGATTTTCGAACAGATGATTTTCGAACAGGTGATCGGCCACCTTCATTCGTATCCCTCGCCAACGCTCCGTTTCTACTTTAGTACCCTGACATCTGAATCATTAACTTCAACACCATTCCGTTTAGCTACTACAGTCGCTACAGTATGCTTCGCCAACTCGTGCTCCTCGCCTCGCTGACAGCTGTCGCATATTCAGTGTCGTGCTGGCAAGACGCGACGAGTGGAAAGGGACAAAAACATAGTGGAAATGTAGGTTTATTTTTGTCTCTATCCCCTCTCTCTCCCGCTCTCTCTCTCTCTCCCTCCCTCTCTCTCCCGCTCTCTCTCTACCGCTTTGTCTCTCACACACGCTCTCTCTCGCTCTCTCTCACATTCTTTCTTTCCCGCTCTGTCTCTCACACACGATCTCTCTCGCTCTCTCGCTCTCTCTCACTTCCTTTCTCTCTCTGGCTCTGTCTCTCACTTACGCTCTCTCTCGCTCTCTCTCGCGCTCTCGCTCTCTCTCCCTCTGTCTCTCCTTCTCTCTTGGCCTTGTGTATCTTTTTTTCTAGGAGATATCTTTTCCCTGCCCCCTCACCGACTACTGCTCCAAATGGGTCTACAAGGTATCGGAACCCTAAACAGTCTATGCACAACTTTTTTAGATTAACAGCGAGCAAGCGATCATTTGGTCTTGCGGGACAATGTGCACGGTTTGTTCATTTTCCGAATCCAGATATCCGAAAATTTGCCGCTCAACACAAAATTATTTCAGAAGACGGGCAAAGAGTCGCACAAGGACAAGGCGAACGGCGTCGACGCGCCCGGCACCGTCTACTGCTGCAAGGGCAACCAGTGCAACGCCACCGCCGGCCTCAGCACATTAATGGCGCTCGCCATGACGATTGTGATGGCCGTGTTTTGTAAATAAATGTAGTTTTCTACTGCTTACCAAAAAAAAACACAACCTGAAAAGCAATGGTGGGCTAGCAGAGATCATCTCGCGTCTCCTCTTCCTCAACAGTCTCTGCTAGCCCGCCGCCTCCTGCGAATTAACACACTAATGTATATTTAAATTTTAATCCATAAATTTGCATATTCACAAGTACCCGCAAAATCAAGAGTCTTTCGGCCATTCGCTCAGCCAGCGCCCTAAATCTCGCCCCCACGCCGCCCGATAATGTCCCGCCAGCTGCTCGTTCTGTGCGCCCTGCTCGTCGTCGTCGTCACCCTCAAGTGCTATACCGACGAGAGGCAGGTATAGATTCTCCACATTTATACCTAACCTCCATCCTCTTTTCAGACTCAAGCAGAATGCCCCGCCGGGTCGAAATGCCTGATGATGCGCACCGCCACGGTACACCTTTAAAAATCGCATTAAACCGTATCCTAATTTTAGCCGCTTCGCGGGGTCGTCCGCGGCTGCCAGCCCGACTGCAAGGTGAGCTTTTTCCTAAATCGTCTCGATCAAAACCATGCCAGGAAGTCGCCGGCGGGTCGTTGACGTTCGCGGAGCGCAACTACGCGGGCGACGCGTACTGCTGCGATTCGGATCTGTGCAACGGTTCGCCCGCCCATCCGCCACTCATCATCACCATCCTCGCCATTGCCATCATCGCCCTGATCTATTAATGTGACGTCGCCTCGACCTCCCGACCTCCCGATCACACCGACGTCACCTTTTGTCCTCTATTCCTTTTTTTTTGTTTTCGCCGGCCTGTGATTTGTATGCAATAAAGATCGATTTTTCGATCGCGAATTTATTTTTGCGAATCTTTGGCATTATCGGGGGGGCGGGCAAAAATTCTTGGTTTAAGTTTAGAAATGCCGAACAACATAATAGAAAGTATTTTAATAATGATTTTAATAAAACAAAACTATATTTCAGCTAGAAGACTATCCAGGAACTTTAAAAACTTTGGAAAAACCGACATTTTGCTATAAGGCCCGATTTTGGATCGAAAAAGCTATTTTTTATTTTGCATACAAAGTTGTAAAGTTTCCGCGTTCAGGGATCGTTAAAAATAGCTTAGAAACACAGTCTCTATTTAGATTTCCAAAAATCGGATCCTAAGAAAAAATCTAGTTTTCGAAATGCAGTCAACATTTTTTGTAAGTTTTTATGAGTTTTTAGATCTAAAAACGTGTAAAATGCTTAAAAATCGTCTATCTTTTGTTATATGATCGAATCGAAAAGGCGAAAAATTAGTTTTTCCTTTGCCAAACCCCCCCCCGCTGACAGTCCAGTACCCAAGGGCGCGTATGAAACAACGGAAGCCTTTTAATAGATCAAAAATCTTAATGCCGAAATTTCATAATAGCAAAATTTATATAAGCGAGTTTCGAAAAATCCCTAATTCTATGCAAAAATTTTTCGCTATTCTGGATTTCGGCATTATGAATTTCGCTATTCTGCGATTTCGCCATTTCGAAAGCGATCCCCCCGCTAACAGTCCGGTACCCAAAGATGCGGACAAAAACAACCAGTCCCAACAAGAAAATATTATTCCACGGATACTTCAAGCCAAAATGTTCAAATCGACCGCTCCGTCGCCTACCTAAAACAGATGCACAAATACGCGCTACCGACCATCCCCAAAAAACTAGGCCGGCAAATAAAACCCAAAAAATTATACCCGCCAAGGTATCTGGCTGGGCGCTGGGCAAACACAATTGAGCGCGTTGTGGCACATCCGGCCATTCCACGCTGGTCTCCGCCAATCGCCCTCGTTACTAGTGAATCTAAAAGCGGAAATATGCGCTATTTGGTGGCCGCCCTCGTCTTTGTAGCCGGTAATTTATTTATTTTTTGATTTTGGTGCTTTTGCATTATTCGGGGCACCAACTTTTTTCTAGAAGTAAAGGAAAGTACAGAAATGTCTAGTCTGTGTTAAAATAGTGTTTTCAGTAACATTTATTTTATGTTTAGTGGAAAAACAATTAGAAAACCCTTAGAAAAGGTTTTTTTAAGCGGAGTTTAGGTAAAAATCGGCCATTTTTACCCGAAAAAATCTGTATTTTTATCAAAATGTGTTGTTTTCTGCGTTTATGAATATTAAAAACCGTTTAGAAAAGGATTTTAGAAAAATTTGATCCTTAGGAAAACTTCCTCCCCCGATAATGCGAAAGAACCTGGTCCGGCTGGGTCTGGGTTATTAACGGGGGGTGGGGGGAGAAGCGGAAATCAAAATTAGAATTATTCGCATTTTTTAAAAAATTTTTGGCCGCTCAGTAATAAAAAATTTAAAAACATTAAAATACATATTTTAAGATATAAAACGCATCTTCGAAAAAAAATAAAAAGAACTGTCTGATCTCAATTTTTCAGCAGTAGCCCTCTCCGTGGACGCGGCCTGCACCGAGCAGTACACTGTGGGTTCAAATCCTTTTTTTTGTTCACTTTATTTCGCCAATTCCCAAGCCACGCCAACGCAATGTTCCATCGTAGTGTGTACAACAAAATAGGTCCAAAAACAAAACAAATTCAATGTCGAGATTAGAGAACGAGCTTAAACGGACAACAAAACACTGGCTATTACACTATGACTACCGATCATGATGGACGATTCTCATTGTCTCATTCGATTTCCCGCAACCTCCCCTTGCACTTCTCCGGCGTGAACGGCAGACTGAACGCGGCCGGTTCGGTGGCCCAGGCCTCAACCTAAACGAAAAAAATACTACGCTTTTACGCGGGGAAATTCGTACCCTGAATGGTAGCTCCTTGCCGTAAAAGTCGAGGATCTTGGCCGGGTCCACCTCGTCGTACAGTGATTTGCCTTTCCTGGCTGGGGTAACCTAAACAAACGGATTTATTAAAAAAATTTACATACCTATTTTTATAAAATGTACAAAATTTTTGAACATTCGGAAAGTTGGACGTCTTATGACCATTTTTTAAGCTTGTTTTTACCAAAAAAAATCGGTTCTTTAGCATTATCGGGGGGCGGGATTTTTTGTTAGGATAATAGGATCGAGAAGTGTTTTTCAACGATTTTTAAAGTCTTTCGATAGTTTTCTAGTGAAAATACTTCTATATCACTAAAAAAACTAACAAAACTCTTCCCAGGAGAGTTACTAGATTTTCCAGGCGTATACAAAAAAGTTCGGTGCTCCCCACTCTTCAAGAAAATTGCAAACTTTTCAAAAAAAGTGCAGTTCGGTCAAAAATCGGCTATTTTTGTGGTGCTTCAGAAAAAAACGTTTCAGAAAAGTATGAAAAATTATGGAAATTCCCCCTTCCAATGTTTCAGCAAGAATTAGAAAAGTTGAGCTTGGTTTTGCGTGAAAATCCGAAGCAATAACTAATCGAAGGATGACACACCTGCTTGACAATCGGCGACATATGGGCCAACTCCGGGTCTACAGATAGATGAAGGGCCATCCGCGAGTGCTCGGCGGGCCATTCCTTGCCGCGGGCCGCGCTTATCCGCTTCATGAGGTGAACCTAAAGAAGCAGGTCCCTGCAACAAAAACCCTGCCCAAACCTGGAGAGGCGGAAGCGGAAATGAATCCGGCAGATCCACTTCGGGCATTTGGCGATGGTCGCAGTTCGTGAATGCCTGTTCTTCATGCCGATGAATGAGCTTCCAGTCGGCCCGGTTCAAGTCTTGCCCAAACTCGTAGATGCCCAGATTTCGACCACGGAACGTCCACTCGGCCCACATCTTGCCGCCGAACAGCCATCGGTCCATCGTGGGGGCCACCTAAAAAAACCGTTAGAAATATCCTGTCGATCAAACCCACCCGCGCGATTTTTAAAAACGAAGGCTGATCCGGCCATTTCCGGCCCCACTCCGATTTTGTGACGACGCGGCCGACGCCGAATTTCCTAGAATGGTAATTTGATCGCAAAAAGACAAAAGGCGGACCTCAATTGCGCAAGAATCTCCCAGAGATATTTGCCCTCGGCGTTGACGTCGGGGTGGCCGATGAAACGGATCATCTTGGCCGCCATGGCGTACCTAAAATCTTCATCTTATGTCGATAGCAACAGGCAAAAAAGGGAAAGTCAACTAAAATTAGCAAACTTCTTTCCGGCAGGCGACCTTTTGGCAAAAATATCGCTATCGCTAACCAATTTTCCGAATTACTAGAACAGAAGTTTCGATAAAAACAGCAACGAACTGCTTTAAGAAGTCGTATACAACAAAAGCAAAAAAAATTTATCTTCCAAACAATATGTCACACGTAAACGAACAAATCAAAGACGAATCAACAACGAGTTCTATCCTAAGCAACGATTAATAGTTATTCTAATGCTCCGGTGGCGCGTCAGGACCCGTGTATGAAGTGGTGGATCTGAAATGACAGCTACGGTGATGGCAGAGACCACGCCCCCTCCCCCGAGACGGCCAATCGAAAACGCGTTTCTTTCGCATTATTAGGGGGACCAAATTTTTTTCTAAAGTCCAGCAATGCCTAGTAACGTAAAATCAGTGTTCTAATAGTGTTTTTAGTAAAATTTAGCTATATTTTAATTGAAAAAAACAAGCAAAAAATTTTAGTTGAAATTTGGCTGCTAAGATCAATATTTTGTGTATGCCTTAACCAAAATTATAATCTAGTAGTAGCACGTATTTTACCAGTGTTTAGTAAACTTTAACTATATTTTAAGTGGCAAAACGACTAAAACTTAGACAAAAATTTGTGTTGAAATGGTCGGAAAACGGACATTTTTGGTGGAAAAACGATTTTTTTTTACTTTAATTGAAAAAATTTAGGTTTTCTGGGTTTATGAATCGCAAAAAAAAACTTTAGAAACATTTCTTCTATTTATATTAGAAAAAATGGATCCCTAGAAAAATGGTTTCCCCCGATAATGCGAAAGGCCTTAAAACGAATTATTACCTGTTCGTACGTCATCAACGTGACGACGGTGGCCGGCAACGTTCTCACGTTCGCAATCAGCAGGCCCTTGTAGAAGGCGCGGGGTCCCTCTTCGACCAGGGCATGTCGGATCGTTTGTACAGCGCTCCGGGCCACGATATTGTGATCTTGCATTCGAGTTCGGACCACCTACACAAAATTAAAGCCATAATTCACGCTGTCACCTGATATGGATAAGTGGCCGTGACGGCGGCCATCTTCGAGATCGAAGAGAACGCGAGATAGTCGAACAGCGACAATTTTGAGCCCTGAATTGAAAGATGCAAAAGCTGAACATAATGATTTTTGTATAAGTCGAGAAATTCCTAGTAATTTGATAGGACGTTTTGAACAGTGTTTTAGTAAAATAAACTATATTACAACTAGACAAAAAAATAGTACTATTTCAAAAAAATTCTCAAAAAGGCGACATGTTGTTCAAAAAAATCGATATTTTTTAGCACCAATCCCGGCGTTTATGTTTGGAAAATTAAATCATAAGAAAATTTTGGCCCCCTCCCTCTGCTAATGCCAAAGAACCACCTTTTCGATGCCCTTGTCCCGACAACGCCAATCCTTCAAGAAGTCGTAAATCATAAACTGAACCGCGCCGTGTGACGTACCAAAGAGGCCGGGCAGGAATCCTCGATATAGGCCGGCAATGCTAAAAATTTGCCATTCCACAATCGAAAGCCCGCATACCCTTCATTTCTGTACATTTTGTAGATACAATCCATCATCCCGCTGTATTGCTTCGTCGC